GGTATTAGTGAAGCATAATCTCCACAGACGGCTGTTTAAAATCACACAAGTCTATTATTGTTTGTTTGATCCCGACTCACCGACGGTATCTGTAATGACTGATCAAAGCTCCCAGTGTCACTATAAATACATAAAAAACCATTTGATTTGTTGATGGCAAGCCTACGTGTATAAAAAAAGAAAAGAAAAAAAAAAAAAACAGAAGCTTTTGTCCAGGAAATTTCTGCTGTCAATCAGCCTTGTGAAGACAGTTTGTCCGAGCAGCTCCTCTGTGTTGCTGACAGACAGACAGCTGGTTCTGATGATGCCTGAACCGAGGTCAGAGTCAGTGTGGATTGAAGCGTTTCAGTTGCGCTCATCTCACTTTTAATATGGATTCCCCGAAAGGCCAGCCAAGACCAACACTGTCCACCATATCCTTAACAAATTCAGCAGAGTTGTGGCCAAGACGTTCTCAAGAAGCAAACTAAAACACTCTGCCTTTTGGCAGTATTAGAATCTTGTACTTTGATTGACTTCCCGGATATCAGAATCAACCTTAACTTTTCTCTGGGTTTTTTTTTTTTTTTTTTTTTTTGCTGAGGTGAATTTTTTTCCAGCAAAAGAACACAATGGCATCCAAGGCTGAAGGTCAGCTCTGCATGTTCTTTCTCTCTGCAACAGAGTATAAAAGAGAGCAGACCCAGGGAAAAGAACATTCGATTAAACCCTCTAGGGAAATACTCAGCTCAACCAGCTCATCCTACCTTCTCTTTGGTGACCCTTGGGTATATGAGGCTGGTTGCTGGTTCTAGATGGTTTGCAGCAACAGAAACACAACAATGGAGAGCGAGTGCACTCCACGAACTGCTGATGCATCGTCAGATACCGCGACCTTCCGTGAATTATTGTCCAGGTTCCCAATGAGACATAGGGTAATCTCATCCCACACCAGAGGTTAAAGGTCAGTTTTGTGCTGTCTGGATAGAAAAAGCACCGATAGTGACGACGGCGAGCTGCATTTCAGGAGGGAAACAGCCCAACTTCAACCCCTAAGCGCTCTCACATAGACCTGAATCATAGAAATGGGGTAATTGAAACAAAAGGGCAGAGTTTGACAGAGATGTAGTGTCTTCGCAGGGCCTCTGCACAGACTGCAGAAAATAACACCCAACTCCTCCCCTCTGCAAGGTTCATCCTCCACGTGTCCTCGGCAACGCCTGTGTCCTTCCTTTACTCCTCAAGATAGCCATTTGCAAATGATAAGTGCAGGGACATAGCCTTCTGAAAGATAAGGTGCCTGGGCATTTGTCACCAAATGGAGCGTGCTGCTCCACTGTTTAACACTGACCTGTGTTGACGTGCACTGTTTACCTTTTATTCATTTATTCTGAACTATTATCTCCGCCTTCATTAATCACGGTAACTCAAACTGAAGAAATTACTTCACAGGGATTAGACGGGAAAAAGATGAGCTCAATTCATCTGTATTCTCCCTTACAAGCAAACGATTAGAGGTGAATGAAAACGCAATATATTTGATCATTTCTGTCCTGCCAATAAGCAATTCAACTCACTCTGTCATTGCAATATTGTCCAATTCAAATTTCATACGCAGCATAAAATTCATAACAAGCATTTATTCTCCCGAGGAGTGAAATCATTTTAATTTTTTTACCGTTCTCTTTTTTTTTTTTTGCGTAATTGCTTCCTTGCATACGTTCTGCATTTTTTTCATGCTAATTTACTTTGCGAGAATCAGCGGATGAGAAAATAAATAATTTTAAATAAAAATTTCCCTCCCCCACCGTTCATGTCTTCCCGTTGTCTGTGTCATTTGAATTCATCTCCCATGACTAGAGGGAACAAAAACTCTTTCTGGTTGTAAATTATCACTTCCCTGTAAAAGACCAAATCCCTGCAAATACATGGCGATCATTTGCCATGCATTAGCTATGGGACAAAAACGAAGTGGTTTTAAATTCCTTTGACCAGAAGGCAATTTCCCCCAATAAATTATGTTAATTTCGGCTTTCGCTCTCCTTATCGCATTCTTTAGTGAGTCAATGAGGAGAGACAAAACTGGCTGCGAGAAAGACAACTCTGGGTGATTCACATTAGAATGATGAGAGACATCTGGCAATAGAATCCCTCATATTACTGTACTAAGAAATGGGAACTGGCAAATTACTGTATTATGCAATAGATTTCTGCTTGTTGTCACCTAATGGCCAACTACTTGCATCATCGCATGGGCTACACCCCGTGGAAATTGCTCTGAGGTGACTGTTCACACCAGTAGGAAGGCGCCTGATACCAAATCCCATGCTCCCTCACTGAACCAGACAACAATTGCTTGGCAACGCTCTCGGTGGGCAGAGGGAGAAACAAACAGAAAAAACAGGATTTTGATTCCCTCTGCATGGACGCATGGCTTTTTGATGATCTTTTTTTTCTGGAGGAAGTAACATGAGACTAATGGGGAACAGAGCAAAGTTTAAATAAATGCTAAACAACAGAAGCAACAGGAGCTGGAATAGTCCACACACACACACACACACACACACACACAAGGCAGCAATGCATGTATGCAAATCCTTGTGGAAGCACCCTCCCACACACACACATACACACACACACACACGCACTTTGCATACTCAAAACATCAAGTGGTGTGCACATGCAGGCAAAGCAGAACAGTTCTTTGTTCCCAAGGCTGAAAGCGTACCTACCCCCTCTGTCCGGCCCGTCAGATCACTCACAACACAGTGAAAGGAAAAGTGCTCAGCTAGCTCAAACCCAGATTGACAGGCCTACCTTTATTACTGACTGAGTTATGTTTCCCTGCAAAAAAGACAAGCCGGCTTTGATACCGCCGAATGCCGAGTCAGCGCCTTGCCTCTCCACGGAGGACGGTTCGACTGATCTCAGCCGAGACTGTCCCAGTCCTGATGTAGAAAGAATTGGCTACCAAATTACCTCCCGATCCATTTTTGGAACTCACTTTGTCCTATAAAACTAGCCTCCAAGCTGTGACGGGAGCCTATAAGGATGCTCGCAGTGCCCTAATATATGATAGAGAGTGACAGACTGAGACGTGGAGGAGAGGTCTGGAAGGAAACGTGATACAGAAGATAAAGAGGAGGCGAGTAGATCTTTTTCGCAATTAACATTGTGGTCTTCTTTTTCTGTACCTGATGTATTCTACTCAGGGTCATTGAGAGGGCTGCGAGTCTATCCCAGCAAGCGTTGAGTGACAGGCAGGGAAACACCCTGGGCATAGCTCCAGTCCATCACAGAGCGAACAAAGGAAGAGCATCACACCTTGCAGAATTTAAGGAGTCTTAAAAATCGACCTACAACTGCAGGTCTGTGGGAGGAAACCAGAGCACGCAGAGAAAAACCAAATGAACACAGCGAGATGAGCACGCAACCTCCACGCCAAACCTAAGTAGCATCTCGCTGAGGGGCAACAATGCTAAACCGCTGAACCACAACAACAGCCATAGAACCCAGCAACCCTATCAAAACACATCAGCTTCAACATGCATCACAAAATGACTTGTAAATACCACCACACTGCAACATACTTAGCTTGATATATGAGGTCCCTGGAGCATGGCTGTTTGTTTAATCCTAATATATTCATAATTATACACTAATTAATGCAAGAGAAAGGCCCTCTTAATTCATCATCTCAGTGTCCTGAAGCGGGAGACACAATTACACCAACTTTAACATGTTTGCCTTCTGTCCAAAGCAAGGTTAACAGTTTGGAAACAAGGCGCGAGGCAAATGATGTGTGGGATTGTAGTTGTTTTGGACACTCACCAGCAGCTTCCAGCTGTGTGGCATTGTGAGGATGATATTTAGCACCAGGGAGAATGAGTAAAAAACTGTGTTTTAAAAATAGTCTAAGTGCTGAAGTGTAAAATGGTGCATTATGGGCAGCAGTGAAATTGACTGCATTGATCAAATAACTCATTTGAATGTTAGATGGCTGGTTTGACTGTGCAGGGGACTGAATATTAATGTCCAGCACTTTTTGTTGTGTTGCAGAAATTAAACAGTTATTGTGCTTGAATGACCAGAATTGATTTTTTCTTTTGGAATGAAAACCTAACAGATCCTATAAAGGGTTTATATGTTGCTTAACTTCTCTCCAGTGTACTTCAGCTCACCTCACTGCTGGTGGGGGATTGTTTTGTGCATCAAAGCACATTTGCATGCAAGCGGGAGTGTCTGGCCAAGAGGCTACATCATAAAATGTAACTCATCAGTGCGAGCAGGTCGTCTACCAACTCAGTAAAGCTGTCACCATACTGCAAATGCAGCAGGAATGAGTCCTGGCCGGAGAGAAACGTGGAGTTGAAGGATGCTGCTTGCAGCCTGCAGAGCAGCCGGTGAGATGGATGGAAACACGCTCTGAAACGAGCTGCTCGGTCCGCTCTGTGCCTCCACAGCTCCAAGATTTACCAACAAAATGATTAGGGAAGGTCTTCCTGGAGGCGCTTTATGTGACATTGTGAATGAAAGCAGTATTACTGAGCACTGCCTTTTTTTTTTATTATTCACGGGCCCGTTTGCTCAATCATCTCATAGTGCAGCTTTCAAGCAGGTGTAGCCCCAACTTACAGTCACGACAGGAGGAATAAAATACATGCGTAAACTTCTCGGTGCTGCTGGAGATAAAATGCAGCAGCAACACGAGGAAGCCGGACAAAGACAGCCGATATGTGCCTCAAGTTTTAACCTTGGTTAGACACGTTAGAAGCCACACACTCCCTCCGTGTAACCTTGAAGGTGCAGGCTAATTGACGGGTGTTAGTGCTAGCAAATTATGGAACAATAACGACCGCCAACAACGTGCGTAACGCGCCGGCATGTCGACTAAAAAAAGAAGAAGAAGGAAAAAAAAACATCCGCAAACAACTTGACACGTGCAGCCTTCCCGTTTGTGTGCTTTTTCTCCACAGACACGAGAACAACAACACAATTAGGGAAAAACGTGGAAAACTCACCACCGGTGCAGGTGAAGCCAGCAAACGCGAGCCAGAGCACGAGGAGCGTAGCGCTGAACCTGCAGCGGACAAAGGGGCCCAGAAGTAAGGGCATCTTCATGGTTTTTATCACTTAAGTTTCAAAAGGCAGAGAGCCGAGACCAAACACGGGCACGCTGGGCTTTATAAGGTCCGGAGAGTGTCCTCTGTAGCACTTAACGCCTCTTGTTCACAACGCCCAAGTCTCTTCCTCAGCACATATCCTCGTGCCGTACCGTGGCCATCAGTATCCCGGTCGTGCGTCTTCGTTGCTCAGAACAACGCATCACAGGTGTGGTAAATAAACTGCTGCCTGGCTCGCCGCCGCCGCCGCCGCTGGGGTTTTTTTTTTTATTTATACAACTGTAGCCCGTCTCCAAAAGCCGCTATCCGTTTCACAAGTCTCCCGCTGTGACTGAGCCGAGGAGCGGAGGCAGTTTCTGCCTGTTTCTTGTCACTTTGTGCAGCCCTTCGCGCGAAAGAGTACCTTCTCCAAATGCGAAAATTGTATTGGCATCGGAGAAAGAACATCTGCTTGCACAGCAATGCTGGAGTGCTGAGAGTCAGGGAAGGTATCTACGCTGCGCTGAGCGGAGGAGCAAAACCAGGAACGGATCGTGCGGATTGCTCGCCGGGAACGGAGCGTCCTGAGCGCGCCCAACTGCTCTCCCCTCTCTCTCCTCTCTCTTTCTCTCTCTCTTATGGAAACATTTACATATCTCGAATAAGCACAACTAACCACATGCCAGCAAACGCACGTCAGGATGAAAATGATTCCATCCGAATCCTTGCAAGTGTGCTTTTCATATCCTCTGCCTTACATGAAAATGATGGATATGACATTGAGGCGCGCATGATAGGAATCACATCGGTGCTTTGCATACAAATTCACACTGATCACATCTGCATGTCATTGAGTTTCAGTTAAATATGCGTCTGGTTTTGTCTTGAGGTTTGGTGTGTGTGTGTGTGTGTGTCTGTCTGTGTGTGTGTGTGTGTGCGCGCGCTGCACTGCATCAGCGACGGACAAACACAGACGAAGAAGAAGAAGCCTGAGGATTAGCGCTCCCATGAGAGTGTACACCTGTCAGCAAACTCAGACCAGGATGTGACTTATGTTCCAGATAGCTTTTCCTCATTTTCTGGGGGTGTCAGTGGAGTGATTATCAGACTGTTCAGCCATGCCTTCTACAACGCTGCCAGAAATCGACAGCAGATTATTAATACACTTCAGAAGGTGGGGGTTTGTGTCTTTGTTTATCCATTTCTCCACTCCCACATACTAGTCAGCAGAATAATAAGTGGAAGCACAGAACTGGACCACTGTCTTACCAGCTAATTATGGGGCTCATGTAGATGGATGATTCCTCAGATGGAGCTCAGCTATTATACAAACTCATTAAGCCTCCTCTCTATCCAGCATCCCTCGCTAAAGGTCAAAGTCACAGTTAGAATGACAGTACAAAAGCACAGACACATGCGTACATGGTGTGGGGGGAAAATGCGCAAGCCCGGCAGCCACACAGTTCACAATCAAACCTTGACAGGCGGCGTGAATGAAGGGATAAGGAAGAGCAAATGCACAGCAGCAGCTAAATGGGAGAGAATGACTCAGCCTTGGTCACTTGTGAGGTTGTTCGTAATGATCTCTCTCATTCTGCTAATCTGCTCTGAGTCCTATCAGGCAGTACAAGCTGGAGAGCGTCTCTTCCAGTCATTGCATGGACCTTCCTCCCCCCCTCCCCTCCACACCCTGAAAAAACAGCCAAGCTACATGCATTTCAAATGAGGAGATGAAAATATGTACACATATATATTTATATAAGTGCACAGTCAGTTATATTATCCTCTTACAAGCGGGGAGGGGGGGGGATTTCGCTTCAGCTATTTCAAGGAATTATGAGGGTGTGTTTTCTTGCTGTGGTGTGTGTTTGCTGAGTCAAGGCAGGGCACGACCTCTTCCACAGTCTTCTGGGTCCTGAGTCTTCCTTTCTCCCCCCTCTTTTTTTTTTTTTTTCTCCTCTTCTTCTTCTTCCTGCTCCCTCAAACAGACTACCATGAACAATCACGGCTCTTTGGGGAGTTGACACATTCAGTTGTTCATCGATCTGTGGTGTTGTAATTAATTTTCTCTCCGTCATTGGCTTGAGTTACAATATCCTGAGACTTGAAAGCAGCGTGTTCTCCTGCAATCAATCACCAAACCAAGACAGAACCGCCATCTCTCTTGTATCATCTTGAATTATTCACAGTCGGCCCGTGATCCGAAGAGACCGGACTCGATGACCTGACAAGTATTAAGGAAAACATGTGGCCCCCGTTGGTGTGCTTTGCAGATGATCACGGCGTTTGTGCTTCCCCCCCTTGCATCCTTCCATAAACTGAGCAATTACACTCCCAACATATGCAACTGTAAAGACAACTAGTCGATAAGCATTGATCTGAGGAAGGTGTCCAGCATGAAATTAATATTATTTATTGTTTACAAACAACACAGGGCGTCCCTAGAGGAGGATGCAGCGCCGGGGCCTCCACTGTCTGCATTCCAGCACAGACTTGTGGAGAGAGAGAGAGAGAGACTGAGGGTGTATCAACTTCCATCATGACCACAGCTTCGCAGCCTATTGTTTTGTTTATATCAAATTAAACTGCAATGCTACTCCAGAGAGATATAATTGACCACAGTCTCAGATTAAATGACTGTAAAGATCTTAATAAGCCATCAGCGGATTGCATATTACATTGCAAAACCACTTATGAGGATGCAGTCCAGTGAGAATGAAATTGAGGTTCAGATTTGCATGCCACAGCACTTTAGCCATTAATTACCATGCAAAATGACTGTATGATGATCAATAGTGTATCAATTTAATTAAATATTATTGATATGGGGTTAGAAAAATTAATTAGAAGCCAAACAAGTCCCTCTAATGTTGAAGCAGTGCATATTACTTTAACATCTCCAGTGGGTCTTTCAGGCATAGATTAGAACGGATAGGTGACTGAGTCCTCCACCCCTTGGTGGAAGTACACCGAATATATACTCAGGATTCGTGATAACGATGTTAAAGCACGTGTTATCTGTAATAAAAGCCATCATTATCGCCACATTAGTAACACAACTCCTGATTATTATATCTGCAGAAGCTCTCGTTGGACGAGTAAAAAATGTTAGAATCTGGAAATTCTATGCATAGCTGTGACTTTGTTTAATTAAATTATTTCACACAAGATAAAATAGCCTCGGTGTGATCTCACATCCTGCGCAAGTGGAGTGAGGGGGGGAAAAAAAACCAAATGAGAGATGGAGAGTTTAAGAAAGAAAAAAAAACAGAGAGGAAGAAAGTGAGGGGCTGGTGGTGGGTGTGAGGGGGGATGAAGGAGCCCACTGAAGGTCTCTCATTTCAGCAGCACAGACTGCTGATGAAGCTGAACTTCCAATATCCCTCTACTTCAGCTCTGATGATTTCTCAATTTTACAGATATGGCCCGAGAATATGATTTGATGAAAATGTAAAATGGGATAACCACCAAATCATATGAAATGGGCCGCATTTTATTCCATGACTATAAATCAAAAAGAAGACACTTCAAAAAATTAAAGTTGATTTGGTGTTTTTGATTCAAAGGACACCTCGCATGACTCGGAGGAATCAGGGGGGGGGGGTCCTGTCGCACCCTCGAATTAAGATTTTTCCCTTTCATGCAGATTCTCCGCCAGTTCAAGAGCTTGATTGCCGAAAGAAAAACCCGAGCGATGTTTGGAGTGTAGGGCTGCTTGGAGAAGAGAACTCAAACAATTTATTCATAGAATGTGTTTCCATCCCAAACAGATTCCCCTAATCTAAAACACTGCATGAGTGTTTGGAAATATATGATGATTTCATTTTCTCTCAGTCTCAGGGTCATAAATAAATTTGCATTCTGTCAGCAAAATGGACTAACTGACTTGTAATTCATCAAACCCACTGCTTAGCCCTTAAACAGTTCAGCACATGGTAACCTGATTCTTTTTTTTTTTCTTCACCGAACTGCCTCACAGCTGTGTTCTCTAATAGGTGCAGGAAGAAAAAGGAGCGCTTACATTTTAAACACCTCGTAAAACCATAAAATAAAGAAGAGAAATTAAGGCCACGAATGACACATTTTCAAGCCGACTTTAATTTGGAGAAAAAAAAGTGCATTTACATAAGGAATACATTTTGTTTGCCACTTTGAATGTAAATGTAAAGAAAGCTCAGAGAAAGAAAGACACTTAAGGTATGTCCAAATGAGGTGCCATTTGCTCAGAAGAGATCCAGTATAAAAAACAGGATGTGCAAACTTTTCTCCATTTGCTTTATTAATACAAAACCCTGTACGCCTGACAGAGAATGATATTCTGATTTCAGTGCAGCCTCTTCACTAGACAATAGGTGACAGTAAAAAGTGTCAAACCCATTTTTTTCCCACAAGTTTTTTTTTTTTTCCCAGCGTGTACATTTCATTATTCTCAAAAAAGAAAGATTTCCTGAAAACGTGCTTCCTGGACTGACGTTCTTTGGTTGTTTTGAATGTCACATTGTCTAAGCGTGCATGGGAGAGGGGACTTTGAATGATGTTGAATGTTTTATGACTCCCTGCTTTTGTGTCAGTCCCTTCGTGGAGCTGCCGCGAGACTCCGGCAGGAGAACCTCATCCGCCGCTGCCGGATCTGACAGCGTAGGAGTAACACGTCGACGGGCCGCACTTAACATTTGAGGAGGTTCGGTTTTAAAATGCCATGTTTTACCACAAGGAAAATGTTACATGGAATGGATTACTTCAGATCAATATCGCTGGACATCAGTTCTGGGCTAAAAGCTTAGACTTTCCATTCCCATTATGCTTTTTGTCCTTCTTAAGTATTTCATATATCCTTTACAATCTGCCACTTTCCATTCAGACTATTTGGCTTCCATTACATGCTGTTTTATCACAGAGATATACTCCATCTGGAATTAGCAGCAAGCGGAAAGAAGTACATTTGCTCAACGAAGCACTTACGTACAATTTTAGAGGCAAATATTGTACTTTTTACTCCACATTTACACGTCG